GTAGGTAGAAGATTTAAAAAGAAAAAAAATAAATAATGGGGGTGGGGGGCTAAAAAGCACTTTTCATTAGGGTAAGATACATGAGGCATGTGGTTTAGGCTGTACTTATGTCCTGTTGTCAGAGCAGGTTCAGAACAAGCATGTTTGCCTGCTGCTGTGGCAGTGAAGCAGGAATAAGCTATCCCACTTTTCTGAAGGACTTTGGTGTCTCTGAAATGCCCTGGCCATTTTTTTTTTTCTTGTTTGACTTTTTACAGTAGAAATGATAGTGCAAATGAGAGCAAACGCCAGCTCACCAAAAAAGATGCTGTGGGCATTCTCCTCCTAGGCCAGCCCTGGCTGCTCACTACTGAGAGTGGCCAGAGCCCTAGAAAGCTGGACAGGATGGGTGTTTCTCTGCTTCCCAGCTTCCTGTGATTTATTTCAGTACCCGTACCAATAATACTGTGTTTTTTGGTGCGACAGCCTTTCTGTGCTGCTGCGGGTTTGTTTTGCTTATGAAGACCCTGTGCTTGCCATGCATTGGAGCCCTGTTCCACAAGAGCCCAGGACACGCAGGATTTGAGTAACCAAAGCAGTCCTTCCCACCACCAGGAGAAAAGGGTGCAGTCTTCTTCACCTTTGCTAGGCTTCCCCCTGTTTTCAGGGCTGTCTGGTTTCCCTCAGACTGGCCGGTGGTTTGTTTCAGCAGCACGGCCTTTTGGAGATCTTTATCCACTGAGATCTCGCTTGGCTCCAACAGCCCAAGGTGAAAGCCCACATCACTGTGAGGCAAGCTCCTGGCAAATTGAGCCTGACTCTGGCAGGAGCTGGAGGATTTGGGCATTTGCGCTCCATCAGGAGGTTTCTGCCCACGAGAGCGTGCCCGGGGGATCACGGCTGAGCCAGCCGGCCTTGGGGAAGCCAGGCAGCTGACTGGCTCCCGCTCCATAATTGGGGGAAGTAACCAGCTGCCTTTGATGTCTGAGCCGGGCTGAGAAAACCTGACAGCAGACTTCAAAGTCTGTTGCGCCAGCTCCCCTGATTATCTGTAGGCTTCTGGCGCATCCCCCAAGACTGCCAGATTATCCCGGCTAATGCTCTACTCTTCCCCGCGTCCCCCCCACCCTGCCTGGCGCCAGCCCCTCGCTTTCGAGGCTGCAACCTTCCTCCCTCCCTCCTTCTCCTCCTGCCCCTCCCGGGTCCCTGTGAGGATGTGGAAATGGCATTTCTGGGAGGAGGACGTATCTCCTGACATCTGTGAAGTGAAGGCAGAGGAGGGATTTTTGGAGAGCTTGCTTGTAGCTTGCACCTCTGGGCTGTATTTCCCCACCCTGTTTGATCGCCAGAGCAGCTCGAAATACAGGGAGCTCTTTGCGGCTGCTCTTTGCAAGGCACCAACGTGTTTATAGCCAAGCAGACACCCAGCCAAGTGCAGGTCCCTTTGGCCCCAAAAAGCCTTTGGGGAGCAGGGGTCCCATTCATGCTGCTCCAGGGACGGTCATGCAAGGATGAGAGGGCTGTGCTGTCTTTGCCCCCTTTGGCCTCTGCTGGGACTGAAATTAGTCTGTAGCTCCCTTGCCACCTGTGCTTTGGTGCTTGGGGAGCCCCAGGGTGCTCATCTGTGTGAGTAGGGACGTGGAGGGCAGGTCACTGCTGAGGGCTGGCTCAGAAGGGGGTGAGGAGATGGCAGAGCCGTGGGGCTGAGCAGAGGCCCCAGAGCTCATGCTCCTGCCAGAGCAGCTTGCTTTCAGCTGGGATGTTGCACAGCAATACCAAAAGCTCATGGGGAAACCCTTTCTTTTAAGAGCTGGGTTTCTTTTCTCCTAGAGGAAGCAACCTCAGCAGTGGCTAAAAACCCTTTCTGTGCAAAACCGGATTTGCCCGAGACGTGGTTTGAGGTCTGGATTTCTTTGTAAGTTGAGGTTTTTCAGGAGGCAGGGTAGGCTGTGTCCTCTGCTGTAATGGGTGGAAGCCAGCCAAGAAAGTGGCGACTGTGGGCGGAGAAGGCCGGCATAGTCTGCTGCTCAGGAGCCTTGCTGCTTAACCCCAGGCACCAAAGTGGGGTGAGTGGCTCATGGGGGCCATATAGCCAGGCAGGGAATCTGGTCTGCAGCCTCTCCCCTATGCTTGCCTAACTGCTTTTGGGTCTCGGCAGTCTGTTCCCTCTGAAAACCAACACTGACCATGGGGTTGCCTCCTTCATCCTCAATGGCTTCCTCCGTGGCATTTCTACCCTTCTTGTGGGAGGATCCTGCCTTACCCCCGTCCCTCCCCAGGCTCCTTGCAGTGCTCAAGGAGTGTCTGGTCAGCAGTTGTCTGTCCGCGAGGTTTCAATGTCCCCATGGACATTGCAGATTGCTGCTGTGCTCCTGTAGGTAGAGTCTTAACTGTACCCTGGCTGCACTGGGCTTGGTAATGCTTTCCATGCTGCATTTATGGTGGTGTTTTTCTGGAAAGCTTTGGGCCAAAGTGGCTGGGCAGCATCCAAAAAGGGTGCCCGCAAAGGGATCCAGGGAGGCAGAGGGAGGGAAAAAGGGTGCAGAGGCATGCAGTAAAAGATGGTCATCACCCACGTGAAAGCCAAAGCCAGTGCTGCAGGCAACCTGACCTCTGGTCTTGTGCTCTGAAGTGGGAGATGGTGGTACCCTGCTGGGGTGTGCTGGGAGGTGGCCCTGCTGCTCAGGTGCTGGCTGTGCCGAGGACTGGGTGTCAATAGCATTTAATCCCCATGGCCCTGGGGCAGCACTTCAGCTCACCAGGCGAGGTGCATGGACACAAGCGCTGCCTAGCTTGGAGGAGGCAAGCCCTCGCTGTGGGTACAGGCAGGGATCTTCTGTGCTATCCAAGAGGTGTATTTCCCCCTTGCTTCCTGTCCTGTGTCCTCCGCAGCAAAATAGGGTGAGGGGATCTTTTCTTCCTGTGGATCGGGCTTCACTGGTGTGGTTTCTAATGGCAAGATTGTCTTTGTAAAGGATTTTCTGATCCTCTTCCCTTACCCTGTCTTGTGTGGTTAATAGCCCTGCTGTATGTCTGGTTGCACTGATTTCCCCGGGAGGAAGAGAATAAGTTTTAGACTGCACAGTCCAAGGGAGAGGGAGCTGTTGGTTTTGTCCACAGAGGAGCATCGTTGCTGGTGATAGGACTGGGCCAGGCAATCCTATTCTCCCTGGTTTCTCTATTGCGAATGTAAACAGCGACTCATGCATCATTAGAGTTGCAAGCTTGGAGTTAAACTGTCCCCATGTGTGTGTTTATCTGCACACTGACTGGCGGAAGCTCACTGAGGTTGAACTCCAAGTTTCCTTTCTATTTACTCTGTTGCTGTAGCAGAGATGTTTTTCCCTCCTCCAAAGCGGTAAGAGGGTTGGCTTACTGGCAGCAGGATCGTCCCCGGGGCACTGCTGGCAAAGCAAACCTCTTCATCCCTTGCTTCTGAGATGGGAAGATTTCATCCTGCAGCAGGGAAGCCTACCACGCAGTCATGGCTATGTGCGTGGCCGTGTCACGGGCGTTCTTGCCAACACGGACACGGGTCCTCCTCGCCAGCAGCCATGCTGGGGCACTCCACCATTTGCTAGCCTCTGCTGCATCTGCTCACCTCTGAGGAGCCAGTGCATGGGTTTCAGCCCTGTGTTGCACCCTCTTCTCCCAAAACAGGGGCTACTCCTTTGATCAACTTCATTGCAGTGAGGGTGGGTGGCAGGGGACAGGTGAGATCCTGCAGGAGCCTCTCTGCCTGCTGTGACAGCCTGTCCCCCCCCCGGCCTGGATTTGGCTTTCTGGGAGCTGTGTGGTGCTATGGGAGCTGCGCATGCAGGCTGATGAGGAGCTGGCTAATGGAGACACCAGCCTTGCAGTGAGGAGTCTCTGCCTCCATCTCCTGGCCCCGCCAGCTGTCATATGAATCAGTTTATTAAACAGGGAAAGGAGGGACCTCATGTTTGTTTTGGTTTGGTACATGAATCTTGTTCCTTCTAGGAGTCCCATGGGATCAAGCAAAGGGGCTTGTTTTATGGTTGGGTTTTGCTTGTGAATCCCTGAGCTAATTTAGCCGTTCAGATGATGCCTCGGCAGTACAGCAGGAGCAGCATGGCTCAGGGGTAAATGCTTTGTGCCACCACCCTTCCTGGGGGAAAAAAACCCAAACCAAACCAAAATCAAACAAGAGACACCACCCCCCCCCAAAAAAAAACCAAAAAACAAAAAACCCTGAACAATCAAACCATATGCACCCACACCAAAAAACCTCAAAAAATCCTTTTAGAGTGTGTGTCTGGTTTGAGCCCCTCACTGCTGTTTGGCTGCATGCCCCAGCAGCTGGGTTTCCCCTGCCTGGGATGTGCCCCTGTCAGCCTCCTACCACATCCCGGGCATCTGCTGGCAGGAGCAGCAGCATGGAATCACAGAATCATTTAGGTTGGAAAAGACCTTTAAGATCACCGGGTCCAACCGTTATGCATGCCCCGGGCCACGCGATGCCAGGCGGCAGCCGATGCAACCGCAGCGCTTGCCTTTGGGGCTGTGGCCAGCAGCCTCCTGGCCTCAGCCCTCCCCATGCAGCCCCCCAAGTCTCGCCACCCCTGCGAGGAGTGCTGGTCCAGGATCTTCCGCACCCAAGTGCCTGCCCACGGGATGTGGTTACAGGAGAGCGTTCCTGGCTGATTTCTGGCTGCGTGGTGATCCTTCAAGAGTTGATAAGCTGCCTGGGCTGGGCTGGCTGTTAATGACAGAGGGCCTCCTGCCTGTGTAGCTGATGGGCTGGTGGGGGTGCTGTGGGAGAGAGACTCCACTTGGGGTGCCCCACTGCACCCCGAGGCAGAGCTTGGTCATCCAGGCACCTGGCATGCACACAGTGGCAGGAGGGGCCTTGGGCATCACCCTTGCCCAGGTGGCGTGGGGCTGGGGTGCCAGCTGTCACCTCCCAGAGGCGTGTTGCTTTGGTGTTGCACCCCGCTCCCCAACCTCTCCCCGCCGTTTCTAAGCAGAGGAAACCACCACCGCCAGTCAGCTTCCTCCCAGACGCTTTCAAAACAGCTGGATGGCTGTTGCCATTGCCCATGAGAGCCTTCCACTGCCCCTCTGGGAGAGCACCCAAGCAGAGCCGTTTCCCATGGGGCTGGCACGGTGCCTGGTGGCTGCCTTCATTCTCCTCTTCCTCCTCCTGGGTGAGTACCCTGCCTAGTGATGGGGGTTTTCGTGGGGCAGGCAATGGGGAAGTAAAGCACCCGGGGCTGGGAGCAGCACCCGCACGGATCAGAGGTGTGGGCTGTCTCCCCAGCCACTTTGCTTTCTTAAAGTAGGTGGACGGGACCTTTGCAGGTGGGTGGCTCAGCAGGGTGTCTTGCTGGGGCTGGGGGGTGAGGAGGGTGAGTGCTGCCATGGCTGGCACTGTTCCGGCTTGGTGGCTGCGAGAAGAGTTGCAGCAGCACGTTCTCCTTCTGGCACTGTGGTCTCACTACAAAGCGATAGCCCAGACCCTGGCAGGGTTTTGATGAGGAGACGCACATGCCCCTGTTGTGTGGCTGCTGAAGGTGCGATGGGGGTTACTCACCCCCTCCTTCCCTTGGGGAGGGGGTTTCAAGGGTGCTGCCACCAGCTCTCTTCCCTGGGCCTGGTCTCCATGGTTGGTTTTTGACTTGGTGCCCACATCCTGTGGGCATATTGCTTGGTGTGCATGCTGGGCACCAGAATAGAGTGAGTCACCACTGAGAGCTCTGTGGGATGGGAGGGTGCATGGGTGGCCATCACCTCCCCAAGCCCTCCGCAGGCAGAAGCGGAGGGTTCCCTTGATGTTTCTCGGTGCCTTTGGAGGAGCTCTTGCTGGCCCCCTCTCCTGCACCCTCCGCAGTTTCTGTCCATGGAGCACCTCTGCCTGCCCATTCCCTCTGCTGTCGCATGTCCCTTGGCTTCTGCGTTGCATCTTCTTCTCTTGCAGTGGTCAGTTCTGGCACCTGCTCCCTTCCTGGCACAGTTTGCACAGGACTTGAGTGCTTGGTCCTCTTCATTTTAACATACCACAAGCTTACTCCAGTGCTCCCAGCCTGGTTGCTGCTCCCTCTGAACAGCTGGCTGAGAGATGCTCTCCAGCCACGAATAGGCTTGACAGTCCTCTGGTCCATGACGCTCTGCTCTCCGTTGTGTGACCTCCAGTGTCACAGAGGAGACAAACAAGTTTGGAGGTCTGTTGTTACAGGACCTGCAAGGGGTATGAAGTCCCTTAGACTTTGTGCTTCAAAGAATGAGACTGCACAGCAATTCTTTTCGTTATTACATTGCGATCCTGTGCGCATCCAGACCCACTGCCATTTTGGGTGTGCAGCCCTCGGGTGGCATATACCCCTGCAAACACCGCATGTGCTGCCTCTTTGCCGGCAGGTTTGAGCACTGGCCAACGGGTGGTGACTGTTCAGAAGGGGCCCCTCTACCGTGTGAGGGGGTCCCACGTCACACTGTGGTGCAAGGTGAGCGGCTACCAGGGCCCGGCAAAGCAGAACTTCCAGTGGTCCATCTACCTGCCCTCGGCCCCGGAGCGGGAGGTGCAGATCGTCAGCACCATCGACCCCTCCTTCCCCTACGCCATCTACACCCAGCGGGTGCGCAGCCGGGGGATCTACGTGGAGCGGGTGCAGGGGGACGCCGTCCTGCTGCACATCACCGAGCTGCAGGACCGGGACGCCGGGGTGTATGAGTGCCACACGCCCAACACAGATGAGAGGTACTTTGGGAGTTACAGCGCCAAGACGAACCTCTCAGGTGGGTCCTGAAAGACAGCCTTGCTCCCCACCAGTCGGGGGTGCAGCCAGGCTTCCATTTGTCCCCACCTTTGCACTGGGGAGGCGTGCTCGTCTCTGGGTCTCTGATAGAGGAGCAGCTGGAGAAAGGGGTGATTGATGGGACCGGTGAGCACAAATTTTCCTTCTCTCCCCGCTGTGGGACTGCTATCCTCCCCCTGGGTTGGTAAGGTTGGGATGCCCAGATGTCCCCTTGCCGGTTGCTCTGCCTGTTGTCTCCCAGCCAGGGCAAGGGAAGGGAGAGGAAGCCTCTGCTTCACTTCCTGATGTAGCCACAGCATTTCACACCTAAGCGCTTAGGAGGTCAGGAGTTTTCAGACACTGTGTGTTAGCTGTTGGTGTCCTCTCAGGTGAGGGCGTGGGACTTGACCCAAGCTGGATACCCACAGACGGAGGGAGGTGGCAGCTCCTGCAGAGCATGGGGAGAGGGAAGGCAAAGGGAAAGGCCCTACTGTGAGCCCCCCAAGTGCTTCCACTTGGTATTCACCCCTGCTCCCCCCTTTATCCCTGTGTTGTACCAGCCTGCCCTTGGGATCCTGAGGGGCTGGATGTTAATCTCCCTGGGGTTGCCTAATTAATACTGCCCATAATTTGACTGAAGAGGGTACCACAGAGAGATTCCCTGCTGAGGCTTTAACCACTTCACACCTTGGTATAAGCTGATGGAAGTCTTGTCAGTCAGCTACAAAAGAGATTTCTCCTACACTGTCAGAACCCTTAGGGCCTGGCCGCAGTTTCAGAGTGGTAGGCAGGTTGCCTGTCGAGGCCAAGAGACGACTTTTCCCATGACCAGCTGCTCTCTGTGTTTCTCCCCTGTGCTCAGTGATTGCAGACACCCTCTCAGCTTCCATGGTGCCCCAGGTCCTCACCCATGACGAAGGGGACGCAGTGGAGCTCACCTGTGAGGTGTCCAAGTCCACCGCCCAGCACACGCATCTCTCTGTTGGCTGGTACCATCTTCAGGGAGCAGGAGACAGTCACGCTGAGGAGGTCCTCACCCTCTCCAAGGACTTTGTCTTGATGCCAGGGCCCTCTTACGCGCAGAGGTTTCTGGCAGGGGACGTGCGGCTGAACAAGGTTGGGAACACCACGTACAAGCTCTCCATCGGGGGAGTGGAGCCATCCGACCACGGCCAGCTGTACTGTGAGGCGGCTGAGTGGATTGAGGATCCCGATGAGACATGGAAGGACATCTCCCGCAAGCAAACAGGGAGGACGTCTCTGGCAGTCATGAGCCAGGGTAAGGCCCTTGCAAACTCGCACGTTGGCTCCAACTCCTTTCTGCACTGAAAGCAGCTTTCGGTGGACTTTGCCCGCCTCTACCACAGCCCAGGGACCCACCGGTGGGTCTGGCTGCCTCTGCCGGGCAGGGAGGGGTGGACTGGGCTCAGGGCTGTGGCAGCCCCTGGTTTGGGAGCTGTTGGTGCTTCTTGCTTTGAAGGTTTGCACAGCTGAGCCTCCGACGCCGGCAGCTATTGTGCAACCTCACGGGCCCACATGAGGTGTTGGCAGAGAGCGCAACGTGTGCGCGCAGCCGCCTGGCTCCTTGGCAGCGTTACGCTCCAGTGCACGGAAAACTGTGGTGTTAGGCTGCCTCGAGGGTCTCACGACCTCAAAACCTGAAGCACTTAACAGTCAGCTGCCCGTCCGCGGTGCCTCGGCCACAGGCACTGAGGGACATGGGGATGTGCTGCGTGTGTGGCACGGCTCTGGTGTCTGCTGGAGGTGGCTTGTCTGTCCGTGCTGTCACAAGTCCACAGGCCTCCAGAGCAACCGGTGTTGCTTCCTATTAGACCACCCCTGTGTCTCCTCCTGGTAGTTCGTATGTGGTCGTAATGGGACTGTGGGCCAGTCTGTGCTTTGAAGTGGGTGCACTAAGCTCCTGGCTTATGCTTTAGGAAAATGTATTTAGATATTTCAAAACAGGGAGACTTAAACGTGCTACCATGTATGAGATGGATTAAAATAGGAAAGTATGAAAACCAGCCCCTTGCCAGTACTGCCTGTGCTCCCCCACTCCACTCTGTCCCTGTCAGGCACCTTGTGTTCCCTCTACCCAGCAGCTTCCCATGGCTCCCAGCATCTGCAGGGCCCAGGGCCGGTGGGAAAAATCCCTCTCTCCCCACTGCCCTGGGATGATTTCAGCGCTGTGTGTTTGCTGCTACTCCTCTGAGTGTCCTGCCCACTGTCCCTCCTGCTGCAAGCCCTTTGCTGGCTGCGGTGCCTCACCCCGCTCCTCCTCCAGCTGCGTGTGGGTAGCTGGGCCCGGAGGAAGGGAAAAGCTCTTCTTCCCACCAATAAGTTTTGCCTCCAAGGAGCCAAGGCAAGGCTGTGTCTGGCTGACACCCTGTAATGCAAGCAGTAGCATGCGAGTTGTTCACAGAAAAGATGCCTGGGGAGATGGTGTACCACGTCCCCATGCCTTGGGGCTGATGGAAGTGGCTGCAGAGTGGGGGCGGTGAGGGGAACCGGTGTCTTTCAGGAGGGTAGTGAGTCAGAGCAGGAAACCAAAGAAACAGTTGGCTAAGGGCCAAACACCCCGTGTGCAGCTTGGGGGGACGAGGTGCTGGGGGAGGGGAGGGAAGTGCAGCCTCCCACTGTCAGAGCCTGGTTCCAGTTTGTAGGGGTGGCTCTCCATGTCTGCTGCTGCCTGGCGAGTCATGCCGTTGCGCTTTCCTGGGTGCGCTTGTTTGAGTGGGTTTGTCGTGACTGCTACTGTGTGGCTTCGGGTACCAGATTGCTTAGAAATAGAGAAACCTCTTCAGAGTTTAATACATGCGCTATGGTAGCCATTAAGGGCAGAAGGGAGGCAGTGGTGGTAAGAGGACATCATGGTGGTTGTTATTTGAGTCACTGGTATTGCCAGAGGGAAACGGTGGCAGGGGTACCAGCCCTCCATCACATCTGCGGGGCTGGGGTCTCCTGCTGGTGCCCCATGGGCGAGCCCGGGCTGTGGGGCTGAGCACCCCAAAACACCGGGGCCCAGCAACTGCTCTGACTGCGGCCAGCTGCTCCAGCGGTTTCTATAAGCCTCCCAGCAAATATTTGAGAATGCCAAACATATCTGCAGCAGCTGGGATTCCTGCTCGCAAACTGTTTATGAACCATTGTTTAAATTCACAGGGTACTCTGCTTTCAATAAATTATTTGAGCCCTTCCAGTGGCAGTCTGGGAGCTGCTCTGTTTTACCTCCAAACTACAGCACGTAACCCTGCCCCTCTTGTTAGACATGGGGGGCACCACAGTGACCCTGGCATGAGCCAGGCTGCCTGCCCAGGAGTCAGGGCTGAGCCCTACCTCCTGTTTTTTGGTTGTGCTGCCACTGTGTGGGGTCACGGTGCAGGGTTTTGGGGCATCCTGCGGATCTCTGCCTGCAACTGCTCTCCAGCTGGGCTGAAGCCGGGAACCAGGGGGCATTGGCGGCAGAGGCTTTGAATGCCCCGCGAGGAAGGTGAATTGTATCATAGGACCCAGAGACAAGGTCCTTATCTCAGGTGCAGTTGACTGCCCAAGAGGGTATGCCAAGGAGAAGATGACTTTGTGCTCCCCCTCTTTACTCAGTACCTGCTCCTGGTTGGTATGGGGGGCAGGACAGGGGTTAGGAGATGACTTCCACCTCCTCTTGCTTCCCTCTGACCTCCCCATGCTGCATCAAGTCTTGACATTTCTGCTTTCTGTAGGAACTAACCCCAAACCTTTCCAACTTTGAGAGCATCTCTTGCCTACATCTGGCAGCAGCCAGTGAGGGCTGGCAGCATGCGGGACCAGCAGCATCAGATTCAGACAAGCAACTTCGATGCCAGCCCTCCATTCACCTCCTTCCCACCACAGACAGCAGAGTTAAAACCACCACTGAGTGATAAAGCTCATTTGTGCCCCTTTCTGGTTTAAGATGTATTTGTTACATGAAGCAGAACAGCTCCAGGAGGCGAGACGGAGCAGCCCTCTGCAAAAGCTGACGCCTCTGGGTCAGGGCAGCCCTCAGTTTGGCTGCCTGAGCTGAGTGGGGAGTGGCTGTGGCCCGAGGCCATCCCAATGGGGTCTCTGCTCTGAGGGGGGGTTAGCTGCCCCAAAGTGGGGAGCTGAGCTCCTCAAGGTTCTGGTGCTTCTTCTGCCTCCGACTGCTGGTTAGTGGCTGGAGCTGGCAACCATCTCCCCACAGGCAAAATTTTCCACCCTGATCCCTTTTCTTATGAAAGAAAATGTTTCAAGAGAATTCCCTCCCGTTTCCCTCTGCACAGCCATCGGTGCTGCCAGACTGGAGGGAAGCGTGGGCAGGGCCACCCAGCACCCCCTTTGCTTTTGATTGCCCACAGGCAGAGGCCTCTCCGCGGACATAGCTGCTGCTGAAACCTCCCTTTCTGAAGGTGGTACCTTGCAGTTAAATTGCGTGGTGGGAGCCCAGAAGAGCAGCAGCAGGCACTTCCAAGTGCTTTGGCTCCTCGACGGCGTAGAAGTGGCCAGTGTTGACCCCCATGGTGTATTGATTTGGAAGGAAGAATATGAGGAGAGAGCCAAGCTGGGGCAGCTCCGAGCATTCAAGCAAAGCAACATGGTTTACGTCCTCACCATTGACGAGGTGGGGCTGAAGGACAGCGGTACGTACCGCTGCTCTGTTTCAGAGGTGAAGACTCCTGGAGACCTTCACAGCATCCAAACCAATGTGTCATCAGGCATCCAAGTCAACGTGAAGCCGATAGGTTAGTAAGTCCATCCTTACTTAGTAAGTCCTGATATACCTCTTCTGGGTAAAACCTGTAGTGATCTCTGACTGCAGAACACTTCAAGTCTGGCCTCATCTCGGCAGGGGAAAGCACCTGCTGCTTGCAGTAAGAGTGCAAATGTGCCATAGGTTTTGGTGGGTAGTAATGGGAAAAGCACTTGCCCTGGCAAACGTTAGCATGACAGATGCAGCAGCTGTCAGCAAAGTGTAAACCTTTAGCTCAGTCTCTTTGCAGTCAAGTTTTGGGGCAAAAAAGTAGAGTTTTGGGGAGGTTGGGTCCTCCCATGTCTTTAGTACAGAAAATTGTGAGCAGAGCCTATTGCTACTTCTGAGGATCACAGGATGACCCAGCAGACAGGTAGTTCTGGATGGGGGGGTGGGGATCATTGCCATTTCCATCAGGGTGCACTCTCTGTTTTGGAGGGGTGACTTGTGAGAAACTGCTCTGAAAAAGATGTGTAGAAGGTGCTTGGTTTCCTTGCTACAGCTAGATGATGGCTTTTCTGATGTAGCAGGAGCTGCCTGCTGGGACTCTTATTTCTTAAGTATTTCTTTAGGTATCCATGTCCTAGGAAAGACATTAAAGAATAATAAAAAAAACCCAAACCAACCACAAAGCCTTCTCCAAAGTTATAAGAAAAGGCTGGTTGAAAATTTCAGACATTTTCTTTCCTTTTCCAAGGTCAAGATTTATCTAGTCTCTCTATTTAATGCCACAGTATCTCTGGCTTTCTCTGAGGAGCACAGCAACGTCCCCTCCCATGCAGTAACTGTTGTTTGCAGAGAGCCGCATGCGTCTGTCCGTGTCCACCAGCACACCGTGGGTCGTGGCGGGAGATGCCTTGATCCTCCTTTGCGAGGTGCAAGGAGCAACCAACCCTGTGTCCGTGCAGTGGTGGCACCTGCCACCGCAGCACCCAGGTGCCCAGGTGCCAGTGGCCACCATGGAGCGGGATGGCACCCTGAGTCTGGGCAGCGCCTACCAGGACAGCAGGGCTCGGGGGAGCCTCCGGCTGGAGAAAGCAAGCTCTGGCACTTTCACCCTGGTGATCCCCAACACGTTGGATGAGGGCGACAGCGGGCAGTACAGGTGTGAAGTGACGGAATGGTCCCGAGGCCAGAGCTGGACGGAGGAGGGAGAGACAGCAGTGACAGTCAGCTCCATGGGTGAGTTGGGCCACTCCTATTTCTGGGCTTTCAAGCTGGACACGCTGGAGGCAAGGCTGGAGAAGCGGGTGGACACATGTGGGTAGGACAGAGGTCTGCTGTGCCCTGAGCTCTGCTGCTGCAGGGTGACCAGGGGCTGATCACCTGGCCCTGGAGTGCCTCAGCTTCCCCATTTCTAGCAGGGTGCTCAAGTCCTCCATGAGATGTTTTGGGAGAGACACGAGTGGGACACAACAGCTGAAGTACCCAGAGTCCTGAAAGGCAGTGGCTTGCTCAGCAGGTCTTTCTGACTGTCTCCTTAACTTGAAATACAAAATATCTGTTGTAGCAGCATAATTACTTATAGTAATTAAGCTCAACAAAGGCACTTGCTGAGTTGTATCGTGGCTTTTGTCAGAGATACAGCCCTGGTGCTGGCATCTGATCACTTCTCCTGCCCTCCTGTCTGAGCACAGAGCCGCTAGCATCCCTGGCGTGCAATGCCCACACTGTTTCTTCTTTTGACTCCTGGGATGGTTGCCTTTATGGAGAGGCAGCTTTTGGCTGTGATTTAGGGTGTTTTTCCTTTCTTATTGCTGGACTGGGTGCCTGAGAGCACCGGTTGGGCCACAGGAGTTGTTAGGCTTTTGTGGAGCATGGGAAGAAGCAGCAAACCGGACAGGAGGATCAGCAGAGGATCCCCCCCGGCTCCCTGCCCAGGGGCAGGACTGGGGAGCCTGGACGAGAGGGTACTCGGGGGGCTGGGAGTGGGAGAGCAGGGGGCGAGGTAGGAGAGGCCAGGGACTGCCTGTGTTAGCTTGGGGCTGCAGTGGCTGGGGCAGAGGGGACGGGACGGTGCTGCGTGGGAAAGTTGGCGGTGAGGTGGCACGGGGCAGGATTTCTGTCCCAGTGCCAAGGGTTCTTCTCTTCCCGAGCAGGTCTCAGTCTGCAGGCCACATTGAGAAGCCGAATTGCCACCGTCCGATACGGGCAGAGTATTGAGCTCATCTGCCAAGTGAGCGCCAACTACACCACCTTCAAGGAGGTGCCAGTGTCTGTGGGGTGGCTCTTCCAGCCCAGCCCATCCACAGGCCACTATCACAAGGTGGTCCGGGTCCTTCCCAGCGGCACCATGGTATGGGGGGCAGCACAGCCACACTTCCAGGGGAAAGCCCAGCTGACGAAGGATGCCACCTCCTTCAGGCTGCGCATCCACAACACCGTGGCTGCCAACGAGGGAACGTACCAGTGTGAGGTGGAGGTCTGGAGGAGGAACACCCTGGATCTGGGGCAGCCGGCGGCCACCACCAGGTCCAATGCCGTGGGGATAAAGGTGGTGCTGCCAGGTAAGCAGCACCATGGGTGCTTCGCTTCTTCAGCGGAGATCTCTCCTTCTGCAGCTTTAAATCCATCAAACATGCCAGGGGCAACCAGGACCACTGATGGCTGGGGTGTTCCCAGCGAGGTCACCTCCCAGGGCTGCATGAGGCAGTGCCGCCTCTCCTGTTTCTTCCTCAGCACCCAGAGCTCCCGACAACACTCTTAGAGGCAAGTTTGGTGTTGGGAAGTGGTAATGTCTCTTTGTTTGCAGATTATGCCAAGCATATAGGGATCAGCCTTGCCACTAAGATTTTCAGCCTTGTTTCCGAGAAGTAGTAGTCCCCCCAAGGAGCCCAGCTGAATGCTGGGGTTACGAGGTGACTCCCCATGGCACAGACTTCTGGGAGGGCTGGAGGGCAGTGGAGAGACTGGTTGCCAAAGCTGGTGCTGGGAGATGTCTGTGTCGTGTCCCCTCCC